AATCAGTCATACCTCATGGGGAAGCAGAGGTGAATAGGGAGGAAGGTGGTTGCCAAAGCATTTGGAGGCAAATATTCTTAAAATAGTAAAGGCTATTCCAAATGCCTACTTAGTGAAATTACATCCACCGGAAAACCAGCTCAGTGGAACTGTATAAATAGCATAGGCCGCTCCGAGGAAAATGCAGCCAATCTGCCTAAATTTTTTTTTTTTTTAAATGAAGGATACTCAGCACTTGATCCAAACATACTGAATAATTCCCATTGACTTCAATTAACTCCGGATCTATCCTCTGGCTTGGTAAGCTCATTAACCATGGCATTAATGCCAAAGGAAATTCTCCAGCTTCCTTACACAAATATGACCTGGATAGGCCATTAAGTATTATGGTAAATGTTGGTCCTAAATCTCAGATAGAGAAAACTACTTCTGAAACCTAAGACTACTTTTTTTTAAATCATGCCTATTTTTCAGTTTTAGAACAACGGCACAATACCGACTGTGCTCATTGTTCTGTTCACCTGTTCCCCTGAATTTTTGGGCAGCGGTGGATCTCCAGACCATATAAGATGACATGGCTGGTTCCACTGAAGGTACATGTCTTCTCTCCACTCCCATAATTACAACTATGCAAATAATTAATAAAAAAAATCTTGACACAATTAAGTTAGTTGCTTCATAAATCTTCTGTAAACATCTTGCAATTTTACTCAAGTGAAGCTTACTTAGAAGTTATAAAAATTTTTTTAATTCATTGTTAACATCTAAATTAGCTGTAAGTGTGTCATGTGGGACTTCAATTAGAAACCCGTGTTTAAATTTTTTACAGTGAGAACAAACAGTCACTGGAACAACCCCCCCAGGGACGTGGTGGAGTCCCCATCACTGGAGGTTTTCAAGATGCAGCTGGTCAGGGTGCTACATAATCTCGCCTAGGCTCCCCTTCCCACACGAGGTTGGACCAGATGATCTTTTGAGGTCCCTTCCAGCTTGGGCTGTTCTACGATTCTATCGGATGCACTGATACTATTTCAGTTCTTGGTCCTGAAGAGGTTAAATTTTCTAGGCAATTTTCCAGTAGGAAGCATCAAGAACTCATTTTGAAAAGGGGCTCACTGGTATTTCATTAAGTTCAGTTAACCACAACGTCCTCTCAGCAAATTAATTTATAAGACAAACTGCAGAAAGTGAGCATACATGGGAAAACTGGAGTGATGCATATTCAGGTTTTGTCTGAATACACAAAACCATCATTTTAGTAATGATTCAGATACAGAACTAATCCTGTTTGGTGAAAGCCCTTATTGATTTCCTGCAGTTGATTCATAAATCTGTTGCTAGACTATTTATCAAATGGAATCATGAACAGTTCTATCTGGCAGTTGCTCATATTTCCTCATACATGTAGCAAGTCCGTATTCTTCCTCTTCCCTCACTATCTCTTTTTCCAGTGAAATCACCTTTAGGACTTCAAAATTTTTCCTTTCTTGAGAGGTCCTCTGCTGTGGATGAAGGATTTTGCTTTCAGCACAACCTTAACTTCAACTTTCAGAAATCTGCATATGTATTATAACCATGAGATCATTACAGAACTACTTATCAGCTCTGAAGGTAATGAGTGTATTGCTATGTACTTTGAGTATCTACTGAAAAAAGCTATTGCTGAGTGGACAGAAGCATTAACTTAACCAACAACACAGTCTCTCCCCTCTCCAAAATAAATATGGTTTTTATGTTGCTTACTGAGCTTGAAAACTTGAAAGCTAAGTGCTTCCTCTTGGACAGGCCGAGTGTCTGAAATAACTGCTTTTAACAACCTCGGAGCATCATTAAACCTTTAACGCATTTTAGAAGCATTTGATCTCCACGCCCCTTACTTAAAAAGTTACTTAGAACTGGTAAATCGAACGTTGCTAAGTAAAACAATGTCTTGTCATTTACTTGTGCTTACTATTAAGTACTTTAATTAAGACTTTTGGAAATAAGTTAGCAAATTAATTAATTTACAACTGCAATAAAAAAATCAGTAAGAAACCCATTAAATATCATTAATAAGTCAATACATTACTTAGGAAATGAACTCTATTTTTATTACTAGAAATTACTGTCAACTATAAAATGCCGCTGTACCAATTACTTTACTTGTAGAAGGAACAAATTCTTAACTGACATTATTAAATTAATATATTACTTCTCTGCAATTTGTGGTTTGTTTGTTTTTTTTTTTTGCTTTGGATACTGCACTTCTTTAAATAGTAAGTGGTAAGAAAGAAAACTAGACAATCAATAGTTTAGGTTTTACACACTGACAAACACAATCTGCTTCACATTTAAGACAGTAATTGAAAGTCAATTGGCTGTAAGATGATGAGCAATGCTACCTGTTAACTGTCCTGATCCAAAAGCTATAGAAGTCCAACCAGCCTTTCTATTGACTGCAGGGGCTTTCTGATCGGAATCTAACCCTATGGTTCAGGAAAACTTTCTGTAAAAAAAAAAACCCAACACTCAGCACATGTCAAGTGCTAAAAAGCCCTTAAAGAATTAAAGCCAGAGGATCGAGTGCCTGAGAACGGTGGTGATGAACTACAGCAATGATATGAGATGCACCAAATACAGTTTTCACCAATCCTGAGCATTTAAAAAAACCAAAAACCCAAAAAAACCACAAAACCAAAACCCCCAACAAAACCCCCCCAAAACCCAAAACCAAATGAAACCCCTCAACCTGCAAGGGCTTTCCTTTTTTCTATCAAACTAACCCAATCAAGACAAATTAAATGACAGGAATTGGGAAATGTGAAGATATTCAAGTAACAAATCACTTCAATTTTCTAATCTGCTCCATTGTTGAGTGAAGAAAGGGAAATGTGGAGTACAAGTAAGACATTGCAATGATAGAGTTATGTTTCCACTCAACAATTCTTAGTTAGATGGGATATGAATCTAGAATTTTTAAATCTAGAATTAAAAAAATTCAGAATTTTATCAGCATCTGAATTTTTCTCTTTTAATTTCCCATTCAATCCCAAATAGGCTGTTATTTTTTCAGTTCAAATGCAATAAAAATCCCATCTTTTCCATGATTAAAGAACTCAAATGGAATTTCCCATGCTCAAAAGCAAATCCCAACCTCAAACTTCTACCTTCTTCAAGCCCCTGTTGGCATCTAACTTAGATCCAAATCTGTATCCACCTATGGAAATGGTAGCCTAACTTCCTAAGATTGTCTGTGTGCCTTTATTTATTTTTAAATTGTGTATATGGTCTTTAAAAGGCTTAGAAAAATCAGGCTGAAGGCTTGTTACTGTTTCTCAAATGTTTCTTTCCCAAATTCACCCATGCTTTAGGTGCTTCAGTGACATTAAGGTATCTGAGTAGCTAAGCTGCCCAAAGGCTTCTAACAGCTGCAGAAAAATTAGATTTAGATTAATCTTTTCTTATTGCTTTCCCTATTTCCTCCAAGCCTAAGGTGCCATCCTCGGCTGCTCATCACCACCTTCTTTTCTAGTAAAAGGACACAGTACCATATCTTCAGCTGTGTGCAGAAGGCTTAGCGGTTTCAACCAACTGAAAAAAGAACAAGTGGTTTTCTTCCCTGGCAGTATTATTCACACACCGTGTCCCGTAAGCAGAGCAGGGGAGTGGCCAGTTGCTACAAATCTGTAGACAAAATGGGAGATTTGTTCCTTCTTTTGTTCGCAGTGTATCTTAATAGCCTCAGCAACTGACATCTGTCATCTGCAGAACGATGCCCAGTACTGGCACGTGCTCGTTCGGCCAACATTATCCTTTCACTCAGCTGACTGTCCTTCACCTACGGCTCTCCTTCAAGCACTCCCAAGAGAAGAATCCATGTACCTTCATGGGAGCTGAGTATCTCCTGTACTCTGTCATAAAATTTGTTGCAATGAATTCCCAAAGCACTGCGGATTTGAATGACTTCTGTCCCATTCGCTTTTTTGTTTTGGGGAGTTGCAATACTTTATTTTCAGCCTTACAGAGATACCAAGATGTGTTCCATACATCAGCAGCAACACAGGGGCGTTCTGTCTGAACATGTCTTGCACTTTCAGCACAATGCCAGGCTGTTCCTTATTGGAGCTTAGAGATCACCTTTATCTATGGACAGTGCAATAAACCCCTTAATACAACTGGCCTTTGTGGAGAGCAACATAAATAACCAAAATAATGTATACTCTCCAGCAGATTCCCCTGTCCTAGCCAGGTTGAAAAGAAGGACACGCAGCTCAACTCAACAGTACTCCAAATAAATAAAACGGACAAAAGGTAATGTGTTAAGTGCTATAAGTAATAATATTCTTCACTGACATGCCACCTAAAGATTTCAGTATGATTCACAAGCTCCATAAAGCTGGTAGAACTAAAATGCAGCTGCTTCTGGCATGAAGCACTAAATTTACATACTTGAATCGCTAACAGAGCTTGTATTTAAAAAAGTAACCCCATTAAGGTTTCCCATTATTAAAATTCCACGCACTACATTGACCTATTAGGGGTTACTCAGCAATAACTGCTTTGGAACATTGCCAAAGAAAGGCATACTTTATTAGAATCAAGTTTTCCACAGTTGTTTAAAAAAACAACCCTGAAATTTGTTACCAGGAACTTCAAAAAGATGACTTGCAAGCTATCTGTCTAGGAACGACTCATCTGTTCTACTTTCTGCTGCACAAAGTGAAGTTGTCAGGACAGGCATCTGGCAAGCCAGGACGAATACTGCTTTGGTTCTCCCAAAATGAAATTTTCCTAGAAATTCTTTCCAAAGGAAAAAAAAAAAAAAATCTTGCTTCCTTCAGGAAGTCAAAAACTTCTAAGGCAACACTAAAAAAATTCTTTCCTGAAGGGGACCGTGGTTGTTTTATTTAAGCAATTGATGTGACAAGAAGCTTTCACTCTGTGACAGCCAGAAATCATGCTCCTCTCCAAAAAGGCATCGAAAGACTATGAACTAGAAGCAATAAAATACTCTACGTTACCCGTACTGCAGTTCTTCATTGCAAAGGAATCCACGGCCGCTACGCTCTTGTTCCCATTAGCAACATACTCCAGTGAGATCCGAAATGGTTTCTCTAGATGTCCAACTCTCCTTTGAAGCAACACCCATCTGGTCTCATCATACAGCAAGAGGATCGGTAAGAAAGGCTACTTTACAAGGACCAAATCCCCCAAAGCAGCAGCTCCACATGAGGCTGGTCATACTGTGCCTCCTACCCCAGCCCTCACTCCCCTCATGGTGCCCCATGGTCAGGGCCTTTCCCTCCCATGGATTTTGCAAAAGCAAGCTTCTGAGCACCAAGATTTCCACCCAGCTAAGATGTGGAAATCCCAGCTAAATAATAGCTTATTGCTCTCTTCGGTCACACTTCTGTGCTCCTGGATTTCTCACAGATGTCTGCCTGCTGTTTAAAAGAAGCCGAACTTCCTTTGCAAAGCAAGCTGTGAAATCGGTAGCACACATACACACCCTCTCTAAATATGACTCCTCCCGCTTCTCACCAGCAAACTCTTAAGTCACTCAGGCAATAAGCCAGTCTCCAGGGCTTGCACAATAGCTGTAATTCCCAGCACTGCGTCACTGGTTGAATGCTCTGCTTCTAACGTGGCTGGCTGGAACATCTGCACGTGCGTGAAGCACTACAACTAAAACATGCCATTTCTCCTCCTCGCCTCCCAAACAAACCAACAAAAAGTCCCACCAAGTAAATCAAGGAACTAAGCAGCCCTGGAGACTAACATCCACACTCCAACTTAGTCTGCTTGTTGCCAAAAGTAAACGAGAACAAAAAGTCTATATGAGCTGAATCTTCTCTCTGCGACGCTAGAAGACATCAAGGCCTGGCTGTCTTTACGCCCACCTTCTCCCCTCTGATCGGCCGGCCCTGCTGCTCCGCCTGAAACACCCTGCCAGCCAGCACAAGAACTACTCCTAGGCCCTCAGCTCTTACCCGTCACCTCTGATTTAACTTTCAAATGTTGTGTCCAGCAAGAAATCTCTAAAGGTGGACAGTAAAAATAGAAGTACCTGTCTTTTCCCCAATACACTGGCATTCTGATCTGCAAGGAGAACTTTAGGGAATACAATACTTGTATGATAACACGGTCTGGCCCATTTCACCTTTCATCCTTGGGCACAGGCTGCCAGTAAAACCACTTGTTGACACCACTTGTGAAGGGTTGCTTCCCAAGAGGCGTGTGTTCCTTCAGCAGCAGTACAGAGCCCATCACCCATTTCACCCCAGTTTATTCAGTGTCTGCTCGCTAACCATAAACATGATCAGAGATGAGAGATTCTGTAAAGCCACTCAGTTACCACTAATCCACTTTGTCACATTTCCCTTCTGTTACAGGAAAAAATGCAGCACCAAGGAAAAAACATTTCTTTTTAGCGTACTGTAACTGGTCAGCTGGAGCCAAACAAGACAACAGGGGTCTAATAAAGCCTATTAGGAAATGCTCTTTACAGCTCCAACTGCAATTTTTAAAAGATGAGAATAAAAACTTGTTGAGTTTCCCTAAGTTGCTTTCAAACACCAATATTAAGCGTTTTTGAGGAAGTCTGTAACTGTTTCTAGTAGACATAATGGGTCAGGGGCAACGTATTTTTCAGTGGTCTTAGAGAAACGTTTCCTCACCAGGTACCCCCATCACCCCGCGGTTTTGTGCTTGTACGTGGGCTGCGCACAAGAACACGTTTTTCTTGAGGGAGGGAACCCACTGGAACATACATTCTGAACAAAAGAACCTGCACAGTTTATCTGGCATCCATAACAAGAACCTCATTCTCCAGAAGTATGCCAAAATTTGGATGTTATCAAGACACACTTCTAAGAGGAAATATAACAACATATGTGTATGACATTTGCACCAACCACCCATCACTTGTGCCTGCTACAAGCACGGATCAATCCCAAATTGCAGACCCTATAATGCTACCAGCTAGGAGACTTTTTCTGCTCCCGAGGTAGACACACCGTTCATCTCATCAGGGACATAACAGCGTCATTACGCTCCGCTGAACTGGACAAAATTTCCAGCAGGCAAGGAAGCTGCCAACAGGTAGGTATGTTAAGGACCTAAAGAAAAGTCCTACGCAAGGGCTGCATAAAGACCCTGCCGACAGCTAACTGTTCAACTGGCAACTCAGAAAAGCAAACACTCCTTTTTTATGATTTACTAGGTTTCTTCCTCCCTCCTTTTCCAGCAAGAAGAGTGAAACTAGACTGCTAAGTCTCATTTTTTTTGTTTACAGTTATTTTCATTTCCACACCTCATCTTCCGACTTCTGTGCTCGAGGTTCCCGCTTGATGAGGGGATGCTGACATCCGCGCTCATTTTCCACCCCCCTCCCCCAAACAGATAAATCTGCTTTTACTGAAATTGAATAAAGCATTGAGAGTGTTTTAAATGCCTAGCTTCTGTGTGCGTTATTTCTTTTGATGTCTTCTCAAGTTAGGTATATTATAGGGATTAGAGGATACAAACGTCCCTACAAATAGAGTAAAAAACCACTCTAGATTTAATTTTGGTTATGAAATACAGAAGCACCTGTATGTCATGAAAATCGTTCTCCTCAGCTTCAGAAGACTGATGGATTTTAATTCCAAGTACGCAGTGGCTCTCAACAATGATTTCCATTTCTGTGCTACTGCTAACCCTCTGGATAAATGTGCCAGGAGTTTTAGGAATTGCTTTTCTGAGTTACTGGTGCAATAACTTTAGTTTGAAATTCTCAGGCCTCTCATAGTTTACCACAGAAACTTTATTAACTCCCAGAGCTGTTGCCAAGCAGGTATTTTATATCACCGCAATGCAAGACTGGAAAAGGCAGACTCACTCAAGCCCAGATTCATTACAAAATATATTCATATTTTGTGGTACAAATTCCTACAATAGGTTGTCTGAGATTCAAAGATTCATGTGAAAAGAAATCCCAAGTATCAGCCTCTTTCTTCAGAGACATGCAAACAAATGAGGTGAAGATGACACTAACTGGTGGATTTATGAGGGACACTAAAAATAGCTACTGGGTCAGTAGAGAGACCCGCAGGCAGATTCGGACGGGAGTCGATTCTGCCGTCATTCCGTAGCAGAATAGGGACTCTGATCTCCAGACCTTTCCATGCAACACACCCTGTATTTAACCCATACTGACCCATACTCATTTGCAGATCCTGTACTACAGGCTGCCTGGCAGCAGCAAGATCTACTTCAGCATAACTGATATGCATTGGATGTTAATTAGTAGTAGCTTTATTAAATTTCTATTAGTGGCCTTTATGTTACGAATCTCATTTTAGAAAGCATTTTAGCAAGGTGACAGAAAAGCTACTTCAGTCATCTTTTGAGATAGATGGGGAAATACCACGTGTGGAACCTCTTCATACTGAAACTTAAGCTTAACCAAACTGATAGCTTTCTATGCTGAGATGACTGGCTTGGTGGATGAGGGGAGCAGTGGATGTTGCTTATCTTGACTTTAATAAGTTTCTCAATGCTGTCTCCCATCCCATCCTCACTGACAAACTGGTGGAAGTACAGACTATGTAAGTGGACAGCAAGGTGGACTGAGAACTGGCTGAACTGCCAGGCAGAGGGCTATCATCAGTCGTACAAAGTCCAGCTGGAGGCCAGTCACTAGTGGTATACCTCTAGGCCAACAGTGGTATACCTCTGGGCCAACAGTGGGGCCAATAACGTTTTATGTCTTCATTAATGACCTGCATAATGGGGGAGGCTGCACCATCAGCAAGTTTCCAGCCAAAGTGGGAGAAGTGGGTGATACGCAGGATGGCTGGGCTGCCACTGAGAGGGGCCTTGACGGGCTGGAAATGTGGGCCAACAGGAACCTCATGAAGTTCAAAAAAGGGAAAGGAAAAGTGCAGCCCCTGGGGACGAACAACCCCATGCACCAGTACAGGCCGGAAAGCGGCTTTGCAGAAGACGACTTGTGGGTCCTGGTGGACAAAATGTTGAACATAAGCTAGCAATGTCCCCTCGATGACAAGGAAGGCCAATGGCTTCCTGAGCTGCACTGGGAACAGCAGATCTAAGGTGTGATTCTTCCCCTCTGTTCAGTACTGGGGAGACACGTCTAGAGCGCTGGGTCCAGTGTTGGACCTTCCAGCACAAGAAAGACATGGACTTAATGAAGTGAGTCCAGCAAACAGCCACAGAGATGATTAAGGGACTAGAGCATCTGACATATAAGAAGAGGCTGAGAAAACTGGGATTGTTTAGCCTGGAGAAGGCTCAGGAAAGATCTTATCAATGTTTATATGTTATGGGAGGATGGAAAGAAGACCGAATCAGACAGTGGTATCCAATGGAAGGACAACAGGCAAGCACAAGGCACATTTGCTTGGATTGAAAGAAAAGAAATTCCATTTAAACATGAGCAAAAACTTGCTTACTGTAAGGGTGATTGAACACTGGAACAAGCTGCCCAGAAATCTTATGGAGTCTCCATCCTTGGAGATATTCAAAACCTGACCAGACACGGCTCTGGGTAACTTGCTCTAGCTCACCCTGCATCGAGCAGGGAGGTTGGACTAGTCAATCTCGGAGGTTCCCTTCCAACGTCAACCATTCTGCAATTCTCTGAAACTTAGGTCCCAAAAGCAAATTACAGCAGATAACGGATTGCTCCTGTTATCCTCTGCATAACCTCCAAGCACTCTACAGAGTGATGAATCAGACTGGTAAGCTGACAACTGCAAGGACAAAGGCATCAGTTACTGCGCACATAGCTATCATCTCCGCACAGCCTTCAACATCAAAACCTATTTTTACCACAACATTGGCCATAATAACCATGATGAACTCTCTAGATACTGCCTCAAGCAATAAAAAAGATCACAGTTTAACATCTTAATTTAATCCTTTATGCTGTAAAGCAACACACTATATTGTATTGTTTAGGCACTGCTCAGTGTCTTGATACAGCAGGCCAGATCCACCCGACAGGACCTTCACTGAAGTTACAGCGAGAAAGAAGTTGGCTCAGATATCTAGAATCTGCTATATACATAATTTAGACAGAAACAAATAACACCATGGCCTTCAGTGACAGAATAACTCAAAATCCTAGATCCAAATATTTTCAGA